AAATGCGTTATTTATAGTGGATCTATCTAACCTATCTATTTATTCATCCGTTCATGTGTCTGTCTGCAAGGAAGTTTCGGTAACCTGCGAATCGGAAAGTTGAAAGTTCAGCGCAAGTGAGTGTCCTTCTGACACCGTCGCGTCTCGCTTCTCTCACCACTCGCGCGTAATCCTTCATAGCCTGCGCGCCAGTGCGTGGCAGGCGCAAAAGAGGTAAGGAGAGGGAGGGGAGGAACGTGAAACCCGTTTCCTTTGAAATTTCACCCTCCCCTCCACTTTCGACGTCTGACCCTTATTCAACTCTCGCATTTTCCCTGTATGTGGAAAGCTTGTTTTCAGGCTTATCTCATAGTTTCCCAGTTACGAAACCGCAACAACGATTGATAGCTTAAATTGCTGTAACATTTCAAACCTGCATACCAAATGCCACATTTTAATGCAAGCCAACTGTAGAAACGTTATTTAAATAGTACAGTACCAGCTTTGCCTCAAACAGTCTGAGAAACTAAACGACAACTTAAAGGCCGTTCCAACGAACACCGCAAACCAGTTGACAACCCATCTAATATCTCTAAACCCACCACAGTCTCTAAACATTTTCAGTTACTAATGATCCGATTCTCCTAACGACACTACACTTATTCCACGATTCCGCCCATTTTTTTCTCGCCTGACCTCCCGTTGGGGGCTGGGGAAGAGACGGCTGACATGTCAGATTACAACCCGCCGAAAGTCTGGCATGTTTTGAATGTTAAGACATCCTTATCTTGGTATTTGTCTACTAATCATTCACGTCATATTTTAAATGTTAACAAACCCCAAATCCAATATTTTATCAATTCTCCAAAAGTTGTAATACACTCTTTTCTTTTTATAAGAATGTTGTTTTTCCGACCCAGGCTGGATATTCTTGTTTTTCTCGTTTTGCCGTTAAGAGAAAGAAACATAGGCGTACGGGCCGGGCGGGCGAGGGGGACTGGAGCCCCCCCAAATTTTGAGCAACTCAGCTTTTTTGGGCAGCACGAGAAAATTTGGGCAAAGCCAGTTTTTATAGACGTCTGCATGTTTTTATTATTCTTTTGAAGAGATAGATATTTTCTATTTTCTCCTGCCTGCCTGGCGTAATAATCTAGTTACATTGGCACGAGACAGTGGCTGCCTAGCACGTGACGAGTTTCTGCATAGTTATAAGGGAAAGGCATCATATGCTGATTTTTTTAATTGTTGGACACTGTACTGCAATGGGCTATTTCCACTCGTGAATTTATTAGAATAAACTTCCGCCTATTAAACTTTCTAGAATCATCTCCGCTCGTAGAACAGTGTATGGCAGATAGCATCAGCAGTGGGTCTGAAAGTGAAGAAGTGACTGACTAATTCTAAGTTTTAATTACGAGAAGAATCTTAGTTTTTTTAAAAAAATCTCTCGAGCAGTTTAAAAATTATTCACTAATTTGTTTAAGTAGACTGAAATGTTTACAAAACCGCTAACAAGAGCGCCATGATACATACTAATCAAATCCTTCTTTGTAGCAATTGGCCGGAGCTATCTCCATGATCTTTCAACCACTTTTTTAAGAAGATCGAAACTACTATGAGGTGAAATTGCATGTCAAAAGCGCATCGTTTCCTACAGATAACATTTTCCTTTTTTTTTTTACCGTTTTTCCAACGATAAAAACTTTATCCCAAAATATCTCGATAACGCTCTTACAGATTCCGCTTTAACTTTACGAACATCGAGGCGACTATTGGAGGAAAAAGCTCTTGTGATCGATTTTGGAAGAACAGTTCCCACGGAGAAATATTGCTGCAAGCATAATAGGTAATGGCTTCATTTCGTTACTATGACAATTCCGATGTCATTGCAACCCTGATCACACTCATCTTTATTCAATACAACTGTGGTGGCAATTTTTCCAAAAATGTTTGTTTATGGCGACGTAGTTTATGCTCAAACTTGGCAGGTATTGACTCTGAAAAACTGTATCGAGCCATTTTCATATGCCAGTACGGCCTATGTTGTTGCATCGGCCCTTGTTTCTATTCGACTGTTTTGTAAAAATTTGAGCAACTTGCAAAATTTTTTGGGCCAATGTTTTACCGCCCCCGCTCCCCCCCCCCCCCCCCCCCCCCCCCAAAAAAAACCCCCCCCCCCCCAACAAAAAAAAAACATAAATTAGATAAAAAAAATAAATATTTGTTTTTTTTTGATATTTTTTTTAAAAACAAAAAAAAATAAATCTTCTGTTTGTATTATTTATTACAATACAAGTATATTTTTTTTAACGTAACCATGAAATTATTTCTTTCCATAGGCGTACGGGCTATTTTTTGCCAGGGGAGGGGGGGGGGGGGGGGGGGGGGGGTTAAAAATTTGGGCAAAAAAATTTTCGAGTTTGTTAAATTTTTTTCAAACCAGCGAAAAAAAAAAAAGGGCCGATGAAAAAACATAGGCCGAAGGGGCATAGAAAAAGGGTCCGGAACGGTTTTTAAAGATGACAACCTGCAAAATTTTTTGGGGCCATGTGTTTACCCCCCCCGCCTCCCCCCCCCCCTCCCCTGGCAAAAAATAGCCCGTACGCCTATGGAAAGAAATAATTTCATGGTTACGTTAAAAAAAATATACTTGTATTGTATTGACAGATGTTCAACATACAAAATAATATCCTTTTCAGCCTTGAGTTTATTAACATATTCTTAAGATTTTGCGAATTTCCGCCTCGATAATTTCTTATAAAATATATTCTTAAAGAAAAAAAGAGTGTTTTTCCCCCTAATTTTTCTACTATAAAGACATTCGGAAAATCATCCAAATATTATTCAATCAAGGAATCAAAACAAATTCAGTTATTTTTCGATTGAATGAAATCTAAAGAAAAAGGGCGGAAATAAAAGAAAAACAATGCTTTTAACCAGAATACCCCTTAAGTTTCACGCCTTTCACCAAGTTAAGTTTATCATGGTATAGACAGTTTCATTAAAAACTATTTAATTTGAGTTTTACTTCCCCGTCTTGTCGGAATGAGACTCCTTTCTCGGGTTTTCTGCTAGTCCTATTAGGCTCGATTACCAGCCGTTGTTCTGGAAATGAGCCCATGCTCCACCCCGGACCGAGCCTAGTTTGCTGTCTGGCTGCGGCTCCACCCCCCAACCCGTGGGGTGTGCGGGGGTGGAGAGGTGTGACTAAATAATTAAGACATCCTTCATTAATTCAGTTGGCTAAAAATAATTGAGATAAGGGTAATTACATTCAATTGTGGTCAATGTACTCGCTTGAATTTGTACGTAAACTACCTAATAATACAAAAATAAAATAGAAACAAAACAAAAATTAACATTCTTACCAAGACAAGACAACAATTGCTTATGAGGGTTATAAAGAGATAGCCTGTGCACAGACCTAGGCTCGATGTCCGCCGTCTCCAGGGTTCGATCTTTGATCCTCCCCGCCGAACAGCGGCTGGTAATAGAGCCTAATACAGACCCCCCTTTCTTTCTTCTCCGATTTTTTCTGAGGGGAAGAGGTTCTGTACACAGTCCAATAAAGAGATGACATAAAATGTTCGTCACTGAGCTATAGCTTAAACGCTCCTGTTTCTTTGGTATGGAGACTGAATGCGCTCAAATTGATGGCTTTGGTACTAATACCTCCTCATAAAAAAGAGGAAGAAGTCTGAAGTCCATGAAATAAAAAGAAAATTCGAAGTTAGATTATTGTCCGTGTTGTGGATAGAATATTTGGTGAAGGGAGGAGAAAGGAAGAATTTTTGTCACGAAACACATTATAATAAATTAGAAACAGTGCAAAAACTATCGCAAAAGCAATACGTTTTATTGCGAAGGCTGTAAATGAGAAAGTCAGTAAATTAACTACATGTGAGAATAGACTAACGACTGACCGACTTTAAAATAGGACCCATGCACGAAATAGCCTCCCATCCCGCCCCACGCGTGACGAACCCTCAAGAACGTCTGCAGTACTCTGCACGGGAGACTATGCACGAAAAGCGTGAAATAACATTTCTTAAGCGTGTGCATAACTAGTCTTTGTTCTGTCGCCTTGCAATAATCATCGCATTTTATAATACCCTTTGCATTTAGTTCTCATAACGTGTAAAAATAATTGTCAACTAATATAGCTGTAAAGTCGTCGGCAGTTCAGTATATTGTCGCCTTTTATAATAATACTTGTCGCATTTTGTAATACTGTTGTAATTTGGTATCAAGGTAGCTATCTCACTTGATAAAAATGGCTGTCGCACTTTCTAATAAAATTGCAGGGAGAGGGATTTTTAATTTATCCTGTTCGACGGAGGTTTTCTCATGTCCTTGTATCGTACTGGTAAGGATGATCCGCCTTCTAGGATCTCCCAGCCTCCATATAAAAAGCCCCTAAGTTCCATTTTGTATCTCCTGTAGCTTTCTGATGTGAAAGTTCCAAATATTACACGTATGAAGTCGATAAATATGCGTTTTGCATGTTCCACTTTATCTGGAACTGTAAAAAGAGTTCAGACTTTACAAACATTAAAGTGACGTTGAGAACACTTGAATCGCGAAATTTATTGCCCTTTGTTCATATTTGCCTGTTGAAATCGCGAAAATAAAACCCGGCGAAATACTGTCTCGCCAAAATCGAGAAATTAAGTTTGCGCGTTTGGCTTCACCTAACTTTGTAGGTACCGGAGGTAAGTCTTGAGAGGGCGTGAAAATAACATAATATAATTCAGCTGCACTTTTTTTTTTTTTTTCTTTTGTTAAAAAGGATGATAAAAATAAAAACAGGAAGAATTAAGAAAGAAATTACCACGAAATACCCAGCCATATATAATTAGTTGACTTACAAGAGGCGGCGGAAAAATATTACCCTTAAGTGTATTTGAAAACATTGATCTATAAACACATCGCCCAATGCACTGCAGATTCTTGCCTCGCGGAGGAAAATGACAATGACTAATTTTTCTGAATATGAAACTGGCCAGAAAACAGTCATCGTTGAACTGTACTGCTCGGCGGAATTAATCAGAGGTGTAGATGGCGAGCTTATCTTTCTTTCGGCACTGAACATTTTTCTGTCCATTGCAGCATTTTTGGGGAACACTCTGATCCTAGTTGCTCTTCACAAGAAAACTTCACTTCATCCGCCTTCCAAACTCCTGTATCGTAGCCTAGCGATATCTGATCTCTGTGTTGGTATCATTGTAGGGCCTTTGGCTGTGACGTATTGGATTTCTGTTGTGAACGAAAGATGGAATATTTGCTATTTCGCATATTGGGCAGTGAGTTTCTCAAGTCATACGTTGTGTGCAGTGTCTTTATTGACATTGACTGCAATAAGCGTGGACAGACTTCTCGCCTTGTTACTGGGGCTCAGATACAGACAAATTGTTACTTTAAAAACAGGATATATAACCGTAATTAGTTTTTGGATTTTGTCCATCGTCGTTGCATCTACTATCTTTTTGAATACTATTATAATTTCATGGTATCAATACATAGTTATAGCTCTGTGTCTTCTCGCCATAATCTTCTCTTACACAAAAATTTTCTTCACTCTTCGTCAGAACCAAATTTATGTTCAGAACTATGTTGCCCATGGACAACCTAGCCAAGTAATTCCACTTAACATAGCTCGATACAGAAAGGCAGTATACAGCGCACTGTGGGTGCAGGGAACATTGGTTGTTTGTTATCTGCCATCTTGTATAGTGGTAGCTTTGACACCTCAAAAAGGAATGCCTTTATCTACTTACCTTGCTAGGGAATTTACGATTACTTTGGTGTATTTAAACTCGTCTTTAAATCCGTTGTTATACTGCTGGAAGATCACAGAAGTGAGGGAAGCCGTAAAANGCGATATCTGATCTCTGTGTTGGTATCATTGTAGGGCCTTTGGCTGTGACGTATTGGATTTCTGTTGTGAACGAAAGATGGAATATTTGCTATTTCGCATATTGGGCAGTGAGTTTCTCAAGTCATACGTTGTGTGCAGTGTCTTTATTGACATTGACTGCAATAAGCGTGGACAGACTTCTCGCCTTGTTACTGGGGCTCAGATACAGACAAATTGTTACTTTAAAAACAGGATATATAACCGTAATTAGTTTTTGGATTTTGTCCATCGTCGTTGCATCTACTATCTTTTTGAATACTATTATAATTTCATGGTATCAATACATAGTTATAGCTCTGTGTCTTCTCGCCATAATCTTCTCTTACACAAAAATTTTCTTCACTCTTCGTCAGAACCAAATTTATGTTCAGAACTATGTTGCCCATGGACAACCTAGCCAAGTAATTCCACTTAACATAGCTCGATACAGAAAGGCAGTATACAGCGCACTGTGGGTGCAGGGAACATTGGTTGTTTGTTATCTGCCATCTTGTATAGTGGTAGCTTTGACACCTCAAAAAGGAATGCCTTTATCTACTTACCTTGCTAGGGAATTTACGATTACTTTGGTGTATTTAAACTCGTCTTTAAATCCGTTGTTATACTGCTGGAAGATCACAGAAGTGAGGGAAGCCGTAAAAGAAACAATTAGGCAACTCTTCCGATGATCGAGTTCGTTAACTATATATCCTGTGATGATGATGATGATGATACCTTTATTAAAGTGTCAAAACTGTAATAGCGGTGTTTAACCACTAAGTGGGGACACTAAAATAAATTTAAAAAGAATAAATCAATTAATTAATTAATTAAAATTAAGAAAGACTATGTACAGTATAGGCAAGTGAGAAATTTGAGAGAACTATGTACAATATGTACAAATGTATCCATCATCTTATAAAAAATAAGAAATAAAAGATTAAGAAGTGCAAAGAGAGCAGTTAGAGCAGTTAAATTGACGCTTTCAGTATTATTAAGTCATCCGGCTTACTTTCACATAATATTTTGCAAAAAGTGCTACCATGTAATATACTATGTAACACACCCACAAAACGGACCCTTCATTATGATAGAGGTAGGTAACTTTATTGGTAACTGCTGAATAATGCAAGACCACTTGGACAAACGGCCGCGAAGTTGAGTCGGATGTTGGTGTAGATCAGGCCCATGTTGCCTGCGTCGCAGACGCTCTAAACCCTCTGTATAGGACGAAACAAATGGCTTTGACGAGTGCGTGGGCCGGCTGCATTGCAGGCTAGGCCCATGCAACAACTTAGAATAATTAAAACCAAAAACAAACAGTGAAGATGACAAAGGCAAGCTGATAGAAGGGCTGAAAGATAGGGGAATTTAATTACTAAATAAGTACTAACTGACCTTCATCGGGGGTGCAAAAGGTATAATAACTTGTGATAAATCGAGGCGGTTGAAAAAGGCTACCAAGTCTTTTTTTTCTACCCTTAGTATGTGCGTTGTTGGAAGAGTAGAAAAAGAAAGCAAAAAATACGAATAATAGCGGAGCTCCACGCAGGCGCGAAGCGCGCGCGCGTGGGCGGAGCCCCATAGCTAAGTATCTACCCATCCCAGAAAATTTGGTTATCACGTGACCGTACACCGAACGAACGACCGACCGTCCGTCCGCACCACAGGCATACCAATGTTTACTGTCACACTTTCTAGCTAGTTTGGGAGCCCAGGAGAAAAGTGATTGCACATAAATGTTGTGATCAATTGACAGCTGTCAAAACAGGGTATCCGGTGACCAGTATCACCTGACCGTATCGCGGGCTCAGGTGTCGGCCCATCGAGGTCGAGTATTTCTTGAAGTTATCCGCTGACAAGTTACTAGTTTTCAAATGATTGCAAG